ATGACCGTCATGCCCACAGTCCACCATACAAATTAGGGGATAAGGTGTGGGTCTATACACCTGCAGTACCACCCGGCCTATCAAAGAAACTTAGGCATCTATGGCATGGCCCTTTCCGTATAGTCGAGATTCTATCTCCCTCACACTTCGTTCTCAGGACATGCGACAACCGCAGAGTAGCTGCAGTCATACATGCGAACAGAATGAAAAAGTATTACGATCCGGACGCAAGACCACTCGAGCCCCCTGCTGACTTAGATGACAATGACGAACAATGTCTCTGCGCTGATGAAATCCCGGACGATAGTTTTGACACAACCAACCCACAACTAGGGAACACCCAGACTCAAACGCCCAGCGCTAGCAACGCCGCTGAGACCAACTCGACTACTGACGGACCTGCTATTTCCAACGATAACGACAATGACGCTGACAGTGACTTAGACCCTGACGAAACTGATGATGTTTTCCAAGCCGAAAAGATTCTGAAACGACGCACTAGACGGGGTAACACCGAATACTTAGTTAAATGGGCTGGATATCCTACCCGCGATGCCACTTGGGAACCAGAAGCGAACATACTCGATGATCGCCTGATTAGAGCATTTGATACCTCTTAATCGTGTCCCACAATTAACCTCACTAGCACTTTATCAAGCTCTCTTTATAAGTCACACATTGTTGATTGGTACATTCCAGTCCTAATCCCCATTATTATCCTTCTTTCATTCCCTTGCTATTAGATGTCGAACCCTCCCAAACGGAAAAACCATAAACGGAACCAACAGCGCCTCAAGCGATGGCTTCAAACCAGATGCTACATCTGCTATACCATAACGCAAGAACTCTCGGTCCCAAACACCTTGTTGCAACAAGCAACTTCACGAGTCGTGCCTCCAGAAGGCTTTTGACCATGCCTTCACCCAAGGGATCTACCGCTGCCCTTATTGTAGACAGACCCTTCGTCCTTTTAATGCGGACGAACCTCGTTTCCCCCAACTGGGTCATTCATCAGCATCCGACATCCCTATGGGTTTCCGGTACCACACTTTCATACATCGAGCCCCTGCCTACAACCCCACACCAGCACCCCTTCCACAACATTATAGTTTACATGTGGACGATTTCTTCTCGGATTCCGACGAGGACGATGGGCTCTTTTTCGATGATGGTTGGGAAACTCGTAAGCCTCGTCTTCTGCTCTTCTCTAACCCGCAGCACCCCCCTCTACCCCCCGGTTGGGCCGAATTCATGCAAAGTTTACAAGCAAACCCACGCACGGAAAGGAATGAAAGTATCCGCCCTGGCTAGATTGGTAAATTCCCTAATTAGATATGCATAGCGGTACTATTATAACCTCTAGCTCTTACCCTCTGTCTTCATTTGTTTCTTCTTCTCCTCTTTCAGTATGCTTATTCTCAACCACATGCTCAGACACTGTTACCTTCTCGTGTTCTTGATCATCTCTGTTGCTGCTAATACTGACTTTGATACTAACGGAAAGACGGTTACTTACTACCCATCTTCGTTAACATTAGCGTATAACCCCCAACCTCTCTTTCTATTCCACGACACTCAGGTTATTAATCTAGCTTTTAAACTGCCGAATTTTCCTTTTGGACGGAAACAAACTATCAAAACGTCGTGCACCACGGCTCAGCAAACTTTCATGTCTAAGCTACTTCAATCATTCCGCAAAACCAATGAGAATATCCGGAGATTAACTTCGTTGCCAGGCTTTTCACCTCTCATCGAGTGCCACTCCTACCTTAATAATTATTATAACTCCCAGACCAACTTGCGCCCTCAAATGATTTGCCCTCACGCTTACCGCCCAAGCCTCCAAGAATGCAAACGTTGGGCTCTTAAGCGATGCTCCAATATAGGCCCTAACGAACGGATCTGGCTCAAAACCACCAGATCTCGACGCTCGGCTTGGGCTTGCCATGCCGGCGCTCTGGGTTTGATTCGATCTTTATATTCCGCTTTTGGCGGCAAATGTGAACCCAATCACATTTCTAATCTCAAAAAAATCTTTGCGCACTATTACGGACGCATTGCAGGATGAAGATTCATTAATTCGCACGGTTAACGGCAAAACAGTACAGATCATAAAGATCACTGATCAATTGACCTCTAGAGTTAACGAGCTGCGCGACGGAGTGCAAAAGTTTGATTCTACATTGGTAGCTTGGCAAAAAGAGCTTACAAAAAACGCCCAAAAGGAGCAATGTCATTTCAATGCTAATATGGAATTCTTTCAAAATCCTCTCACGAGAGTAATAAGATTTTTAATTCCCTGTTACGCTTTGTGGAAATCCAGGACATCGTAACCCAGTTTGCCCACTTCCAAAATAAAGCACTAGTCGGCTACAATGATTTACCTCAGTCCCTAATTTCCGCTCTCTCTGCAAATTTCAAGGCACAAAATCGCCTCAAATTTTCATCAGCAGTTTTAGACGACGGTTTTCCTTTGATAATAAAACCCGTTACTGAATATCAACATCGTGATAGATATATTTCATTAAATACCTTAGCTACCATTCCAATTCTCAGGTCTAAGAACGCTCTTTGTACTGTAGAATCACTCATCCCATTAAAATACCAACTGAAAACTAAGTGTTATACAAGCCCTCTTGCTTTTAACGATCTGCTCCTAATTACATGTGCTAAACAAAAACTTATAATACGAGCTGATGTACTAACCCAGTGTCACTCTAGAGAAGGTACATACCTTTGCCCCGATGCCATACTCACTCGCAGCAAGGATAGTACTTGGCTTGGTATTAATTGGACCCCAGGGACCAAGTTCAATTTTCCTCGAAACCACATGAAGACTTCCTGTGATGACTTCCGCCCTCTGATTCACCTTGGTGGACGTTTCTTCCTCTCTACGATGGAACAACGCGTCCGACTGACAACTAGAACCATCGACATGACGCCACTCACCGTATACCATATACCTTGTAATGAGACTTCATCTCGTCTACCCACTGGTTTTGGCCAATGTCCCAGTACGTTAACCATGTCAATCCCAATATTCAGTAAACACAACGTGCAATACATTCCTTGGATAGTTCCCGCCAACCAGTCTGTCCTTAACCTGCATTACAAGTCTTTAAAGATCGGTCCCCGCCTTCGCTTCAATAAAACAACAATAAAGGCTCTGGACGACACATTTAACCGCATCGATGGTCCATTGCAACACAAATTTGAACTGATAAAAAGAGACATCGACTCAATACGCACGACCACCATTACGTCCACGACGCAGGTCCTCGCCTGCGTAGCACTTTCATTGGCTGTTCTCAACCTTATTGCATTAATCATCGTTATCCACATTATCCGTCGCTCACTGCGCCCACGAACAACCACCGCCACTGTGAAGTACGTTAAGAAGGGAAACTCGCTTCATCTTGACCCCATTTGTCAGGAATGTGATGAACACCTCAAACACCTCACACCATCTGATACCAACGCCAGCGACAACGACAACACTGATGCATGACCATTACCAAACAACGGAAAACAGGTTACGCTAAACAGGATTTCTACACCGAATATTTGGAACCTTACGTCATAAAGCCTTCAACAAAACAACAGACTTTGACAATTCTCATTGTCAACCAACCAATCAAGGACACACACACAAAAAAAACAAAAAAACCAAAAAAAAAAACCAAATTACTTAATTTCATATTACTTAATATTACTTAATTTTATATCGGTGATGGGATATTCTTAACACAAAATTCTATTTCTTATCTACCATTATTATTCCATATACTCATATATTTATTGGTGATGGGAAATTACATTCGTATTGTTCACAACCTATTTAGCATAATTTAAACAATCAAATTAAGTTGCTTGCGTACCCGTCCTCTCCCGGAACGCTTCGCTCATTTTCTCTTCTCGACGGAGCTCGAATCTAAGGAGGGAGGACTGTTACGCAATACAATTTTGAATTATCATTTTATTGATATCTTATTATTATTAATATTTACAAGCTTATCTATGGGTTAATAAGGGTCAGAAAAACCACTAAAAGCGACGTGTTGCTCGAATACTCCTTGCCCTTTGTTTTGTTCCTCTCTAGTTCATTAACTGTATGTACACTCTGCACCACCTTTTTGACAAGCTGTGTGTACACTTTGCATCACCTACTGATTCTGGTCGGAACTTCAAACAACACCTCTAAGTACACCTGCCCTCTTAGCGTTGTTCCTATTTTGGGGATCCTCATCCCAGGTGAGGTACGTTCCCCCCTGACCTATCGGTAAGCTTTCACACCTTTTTGGATTTTCCAACCAAGATTTCTCAGAGTTACTAAGTTTGTTGTGGAAGGCAGTTACACCAAAAGGCGCGGAATAATTTTTACTCTCCACTGGTGTAAAACTCGTAAACTTTCGGAACGAAATAGTAACTCCACTTTTGATAGATAAATTTTTGTTTACTTGGATTTGCTTCTTAGAAAACTGGAGAGTCACCGATCTCATTACTAGGAGAACTAACCAATCAGCGTTTTCCTGGTAGTGACGTCAGTCACTCCCTGTCAATCAACCTTAGGAAATACTACTTAAAGAGTCGTAACTAGTTCAGTTTTAGAGTTTTTCCTGGAAGTCTAGTAATAAACACCAACAGTCACACCCAAAAGCGAGTACCGTTCCCGTAATATATACACCTAGACGTTTCATATCTGATACAACACGGCCACTCATATTGTATATATTACTTATTTGATAATATATTTTTACTGCAAGCTGACAAGGTGGATTCATATTGTTCAAACCTTTTTTTAATCAACGTCGAAATTGTGCGCCGAAAATTCTCCATCTCGAAAATATGGAAATTTTAGAAGGAAATGATTGAACTAAGCGAATTGTGTATCGGATTCGTCTGTTTATCAACAGATGGTGTTCGGTTTTTATCATTATTATTTTTTAAACTTCTTTCTCGCATAGTTTTTATTCACTTTTTTAAAATTTGTATTCGTGAGAATTGAAAGAATAGTTTGTTTTGGGCTGACACTAGTGGACTAGTTTGAGCAAACAAGTCATGGTTGTTTACTCAGGGAGTTATCGCTCTGCAAGTGAAGAAAAGACAACATCCCGTCAGTCGTTCTCCCTGTAAAAAATAACATATTCAGCGTTTTTCTTCGCAATGTTTGCATTGAACAAGTATAAATAAAGTAGCGAACGATTACAAAACTGACCACAAGCTACATCGTTTAAACTTGGGACAAAACAAAATGTAAGTATGCTGTACAATTGTGTTGAAGTTCGGCTTATGTGCAACCTGGCACGGAGTGGAAAGGTGAAGATAAACATTATAATCCGACGTTACACAAGACAATTAGTTAAAGCGAACGACGTTTTCACGCAAACTCTTATATTAGGAGTCGACCATAAGATAATTGAGCGAGAGGTTTTAGGAATTTGTTTCACGCAATTTTTCGTGTTTTTTTTTTTTTTTTTTTTTTTTTTTTTTTTTTTTTTTCTCGATGTTTCTTTTCTGAAAGAACAGGTTGGCGCGACATTTTTTTCGTAGGTGAAGTGCGGCTTGTTCGATATTTTTGGGGGGATTTTATTTTACGCAACACCCTCCTAAATTATCTTATATGGTTAGTGCTTAGTGCTCTAATGTGGGATATTTTGAGCGGCATTTTTACTGAGGTATAATTAGTGAAAGTTTAATTTTTAGTCGTTTTGAAATTTGTAGCCAAGTAGCGAATTTGTTTGACATCAACAAGTTGCCTGAAGTTGAATTAACAGTCTAATGCGCTGCGAAGTTGAATTACTAAATGGACCCTTCCTTAAAAGTATCGTGGATGCCAGACTAACATGGAAATACAAAAGAAATCACACGAATCATAAACACCATATCAGTAAAATACATACATACATTCCCACCACCACCACCACCACCATCATTAACACCACTACATAATCATCTCCATTATTAATCATCATTATTGATATTTTTTTATAAAGTTGCCAAGAATAAAATTTGATCCGCGGCCTAAAGGCTAATAAAACAATACAAAATAAAACATACTATAATTTTAAATAAAAACGAAACTGCAATTGGGAAAAATTACATTTTACAACCATCATGCATTCCCCGTAAGAGGCTCTTCCCTGTTTTCCGCTCCACGCGCACTATCGATCCCTACATTCATTATTTACAACGCACAACTCACAACTCTCAACTCGCATTTTGATTTTTACCGGAAGAAGCAAGGAAAACCGGAGAACCCTGAGAAAATCCTCGTGGTAGGGGACAAGGGGAGAGAACAACACGTCAGGAAAAAAAAAAAAAACACGTAAAAAACTCAACTTACACATGCAGTTTCTTTCGCCCTGGTGAAAAAAAATCCCAGGAAATTGAGAGCACATTTCCACATAGTCACACGTTAATGACATTCGTACTGATTCGTGCTTCAAGAACTTAAGTGCGCAAATACATCACAACACTAAAACCAGCTGCAGCAAATAAATCCTAGGAAATTGAGCACACATTTCCACATAGTCACACGTTAAAGACATTCGCACTGATTCGTTTTTCAAAAACTTAAGTGTTTAAATACATCATTACACTAAAACCAGCTGCAGTAGTACAGACCTAAAACACGATAAGAAAATGTAATTGCACTAGCGCGCATTGTGTATTAGAATACCAAATAAGAAGTAACTGAAATCTTATCTTTCTCTTAAGCTGAATATCTTGGCCTAGTCAGTTATAAACGCCGCGCTAAGACATGGCTCATCAACTAGCCGATCAAATACTCAGACTTTTTGGCGAAGTTGATGACCAATAGTTCAAGCTGCTTTATTTTAGAAAGTTTAAGATTCTCGTTTACGGCAAACGTGAAACGTCAGTTGACCATTAAAAAATTCTTTAAAATTAGTGAAAAGGAATCGCAAAAATCTCCGAGTAGTAGATAAAAAAAAGAATACTTGTCTTTGTCGAGAAGGTTTGCAAAAGGTAAAGTGAAATGTAGGGAAACGATGAAAACGTGGTCACGTTTGCGGCCGTTTGCAGGAAGGGAAAACGGGAATCTTATCTGCCTAATAACTGATGCCGTCCGACAATTAGTCAGGAAGTTAAAATCCAAGCGAAAGGGGGGAAATACCGCCTGATTTAATTTTTTTGGGTATAATTTTAAAACTACCCTGCGGTGCTAATATTCAGCGGGTTCGTAGTGGATAAGATCATCTAGTTTTACTCGATGTTAGCTCGATGTGTCAATACTGTATTTACCTTTCCATCAAAAGATACCGAAATACGGTGCGGAAAAAAAAAACTGAAAAAAGTGGTGTCCTCATCGATGCATGTGCTTCACCCCTTGTTCGCTGACAAGTATGCTTGATGATATGACTGAATAAAGGGGAGATAAAGGAAAGAGAGATAGCAAAAACAAGACTAAATGAGGTTCTGAAGGACACCCTATTATTTCCAAACTGAAATGTTAACTCGGCTTCCTCATATACGTCTTGATATAAAGGAAAAATATTTCGTGCTCTGTTTATCATAACGCCCACAACTCGGATAGTGTTATAATTTGACGGCTCAACAACAGGGATATGGATCTTGAATATACCTCTCAGACAAACAGATAGAGTACTGCCTTAACGTCGCTGCCTTAAACTCATTTACATTGGGAAACAACCTTCTGTAGAATTGATAAGAGCTGCAATGTCAAACTATAGAGCAAAGCAAAGGCTGACTTAAAATTTTCGCACGAAATGGCATGACTTTTGATCATGTGTGGAAGTTCAACTTAAAGAATTAAGCACCCAGTAATACCCCACGTAAAGTACATGTGCCCACGTAAACAGCAAAATAGATTACGAAGTTCAGAAATACAATTTGAATGATGAAAACCGAATTCGGAAGAGATTTAGACAAAATGTAAGGCGCAAGATAGTTTATTCATCGTCCTGTTGCAATCAAAACCAGGATTTAAGAATTCTTGTGATGATTAATGACCGTCCTGAAATAACCATCAATATATTTTCTTGCATTTCTACAGTTTAACCTGAGGCTTAAAAGCGATTCAGACGGTAACACGAAGACACGTGTGTGACTTCAAAACCATGGCCTTTACACAAGACCAACTGCAGACAACAAAAAATACATTTCTAAACTCGAGTTATTCAACTGAAGTCAGCACGGCAATTGAAGACCCACCACTTTGGGACACTGTTGCACTTGGAGTCATTGCAATACTTTCATTAATAGGCAATGGAACCGTGATATTTCTTATCTGCACATGTAGAAACCTGCATAAGCCCGCGTCGCCAAACTGGTTTGTTCTATCGCTTGCTCTGGCGGACATGTGTGTTGGTGGATTGTATGCGCCGTCAAGATTCATCTGCAGGTTTGCTACCAGTTGTTCAGTGATAACGTGGAACATCATTTACTATTTTCAGGGGGTATTTCCGAGTTCTTCAGTGTTGAATCTGTGTGTCTTGACGTTTGATCGTTACTTGGCTGTCGTCCATCCTTTCACTTATACGAACATTATGCGATCGTCTAGAGTTTTTCACCTTATCCAATCCGCGTGGTGGATGGCACTCCTGCTAAACATCCCATACCTAGTGTTAGCATTCATTCCTCAAGAAAGTCACGAGTCGTTGTTCGTCCATGGAGTCTCATACGTTGTCGTCTTTGCCTCTATACCAAGCGCGTTCATGTTATATGCTTATATTGCAATTGTATTCGTCGTCAAGCGCCACAAAAACCACATTAAACGACAAGAAATGCAACTTGCAATGAATTTCTCGTTACATTCCACCGAGGTCAGTCGTCATGGCAATAATCATCATAAAGATGAAACAATGAAAGCCGTGGGAATCATCGTCATCATATTCATCGTCTGCAGTGGACTTTTCCAATGGCTGACAATTTGTAACCTCGGAGGAAACTGTCACATGTCAATGGAAAGTCCTGTGTATTTTGTCATTTATACATTATTTCATTTTCGATCTGCCATTAATTTTATTGTTTACGCCCTCCTAAGGAAAGATTTTCAGACGGAACTTAGAAAAATTGCCAAAAGATTCCATTAAAGTGCTTGAGACATGTACAAACCATATATTCGTGAAATTGCAAAAAAAACTAAATAGCATTAAACGCATGTACATCTTTTGTTTTCGATGATTTCATTGGTGCTATTTCGTACTAATTAGTTAGTACTTATTCACGGATTTATGGCTTGCACTCGATCTGTAATTTTATACAGCATTTGTGTACTTATCCCGCGGCCTGCCAGACCTTCGTGATCGAAGGTAAGTATTTAATAACGAAAATTCAGGGAGTGTGGCTTTAAGAACCAGGGAATATTTAAAATCTGATAAAACTGATAAAATTCTGAAGAAATTTGTTATCTTTTCTTCCGTGAGAACTCATAGTTGAAGACGCAATAAAAAGTATGCATTGACGTGAATTGTGTCTGTAAGTCTTTTTGTATGACTGTCATCACGTCAACACTCAACACTTTCAGTTCATCATTTAGCCATCCACTTTTAAATATTATGCAAATCCTTTAACCGCTTTTCGGAAAAATTAGAGACGTTATTCTGAGCTAAAAAGTCAAAGAAAGACGATCATTGATTATAGTTATTGATGCGCACATATCAAAGTGGATAAAAGCTTGACATCGTCATATCTCGTGAGATGATTAAAGCTTAAATATTGTACATAAAAAAGTAAAAAGTGACAAAGTTCGTCGATAACTTGCCAAAAGGAAGGGCGGAATAAAGCAATTATCGACCAAAAATTAAAAAAAAAAAAAAAATAGAAAAGCAATATCGTGCGAACCGATTATCTTTATCGGAAATTTCATTTCATTTCATTTAATTTTCATTTAAAAAATTATTTTTGCATCAGAAAAGTTTTTCATTTGAAAAAAAATCTTATTTGAAAAATTAAAATCAAAATAATAGACTCTGATAATTCTTTCCAGAAGCTTAGTAATTTTAAGACGATCACTTCTTAATTACAATTCTCGAAAACAAATAAAGAATGTGAAAGAAAGAATAGATAAATAATGGCAAAAAGATTGGCAATAGCTTTGTTACTTACAGCACTAATAACGGGAACAAATTTTGCTTGGTAAGCCGAATTTTCTCTCCGTAGTTTTTTTGTTTCTTATCCTGCGTTCATTAAAGGTAAGAGCAGCACGCGATGGCAAACGCCTAAAGAGTCGTAAATAATAAGACTCATTTGGAGACCACAAGCTGTTATTACAACAAAGACTTTAGTACTTTTTCTTCTTTGATTAAGTCTTTTTGGCTCCAAATTAGAATTAAGGTTGAGGTTGATGCAGCTATTTTTTATCTTAATAGACAGACATTTAATCTTCCGGCGTGAAAAACCTGGGTTAGAAGTCGATTAGTCGAAAAACTGAAAAGGTTTATTTGGAAGACCCAGTAATAATCAAACTTTGATTAAAAAATATATTCCGTGCGTAAATACTGCAATAATTGAGCCCGCTTGGAACTTAGTCCGTCCATGGTTTCATTCTTCCTCCCTCCCTCCCTCTCCTTCATAATAATAATATTAATAATAATAATGATAATGATGATGATGATAATGATGGGGGTGGTGGTGGTTGTGGTGGTGGTGATGATGATGTTGATGTTGATGATGATGATGATAATGATAATCATAATAATGGGAGTTTCTTATATAGCGCATTTCAAATATCTCAATGCGCTTTACATTTATAACCAGTGGAGGACTTTACGGGCTGCGTATTATTCATTCATTCATTCGTCTATTCAATAATTCATCTATCATCCATTCATTCGTCCTTCCGTCCGTCCATTCCTTCTTCCTTTCTTATTTCAGGTTGTATTTGTTCTTAATTTTTCTTTTCTTACATTAACTGGACGTTTTAATGCTTAGAAGTGACAGATAAGTGCACTTCCACTTTTGCATCAGAACTGATCGTTTGCAGATTTCTTTTTTCTTTTTTTTATTTTTATTCCCAACTCCATTACCTTTTCGCGCGACAATGAGCCTCTGTTTCATCATTAATTGTATTGCCAATTTGCTACCAAAATCTAGCTTCAATAACAATTTAACAAAATAGATTTTACCTGACAAAGAGAAAACCTTATTTCTATAAAAACATATTCATGAAATTATCGCTCTTTCAATTTATTTAATCCCCTATAAAACAAATATTGAAGAAATAGAAAACGCGCACTCTCATTGTGTACAGTCATAAAGCACGCGGGGGTTGGCAGAACACGAAAGAAGTGTTAGAAGAAGCACGTCTCGTTGTGGAATGCGTCTTAGTGCACACACCGCAACCAAATTTTATATTTCTTTTCTAAAATACACATCAGAAAAGCTGTTATTTTAGTTATAAATGACGAAATAAATACTGCGCACCCATGCTGTGTGCTCCCATATAGCACGCACTTTCAACCAGTTATTAACAGTTATTTTATAAACAAAATATAACACACTTCAATTCATGTGCAAATAAGGTATTGTCAAAGGATATCTATCGCGTGGTATAAGCCTTGATAGTAATACCAGTGTCTTGAAAGACTTTTTCTACTATATCTTTGATAACACCCCAGCTCACCCCATCATCACCGGTTCCAATTCTAGGAATAGCTAGCTGAGTGATACCATGTTTAATGCAATGTTCTTTCATGTCTGTGATAGAACTGTGGAATGCTTCGGGGGTGGCTCGATCCCACCATCTGTTCCGTACAAGCTAAAGAAGTTCAAAGATATCAAATGTTAGGTGGGTACATATACATATTTTTTTTAAAAGTTGTTAGTCAGAGATCTGAGATGGTTGATCTGAGACTAAACAGAATTCTTGGGCATTTATATAGAATTTAAAGATGTGAATTTCCTTTCTGCAAGCAAATTTTTCCTCGGAAAAAAGTTCTGAGCTCTACCAGGCTAAATTAAAGCTCAAGGGGGAGCTCGGGATTGGCAGGGGTACTGCATCGCATCAACTGAGTGTTTCGTATATGCATAAGAGTGTTTTCCAAATTCAGCCTACTATTCAATGTGTAACTAAGATTTGCTACCAGTCTTCCTACGGAAACAGCAGACTCTCTCTCTCTAGGTCTATAAAATACTAGACAAAATGCCTGCACGTATGAATTAAGTGCTAAGAAAAATAATTTTTTTGCGAGAAAGATTTGCTTCAAGAAAGGAAATTCACATGTTTAATAAATATCCAAGCACAAAAACACCTTAATACTTATTATGGAAATATTTGAAATATTTAATAAAAGCCTGAAATAATGTGTGTGTGTTTGTACTTACTAAATAGTATACAAAACTTGTGTCATTTCTTTTTAAAACTGCAGCTTGCCCAACCACTTTATCTGCCAAAAATATAAAGGAATTAATACACACTTTTATTTTATCTGGTTTCCATGGATTAAAATAATGGGTGGTAAGTCGCCCATCATGATCACAAGCCAATTTAGTTTTAGCTATGGTCAAAATGACTGACAAGGCAAAGATTTGACCGGACAAGTTCCAATTCCAATTGCCCTATTTCACTATGACGTCACATCAAAACAATCTATTGTTAAACGCAAAGGATCATGGTC